GTAGTCCCCCTCCCAGGCTCGCCAACCCCTTGGGTCTCAGCACCCTAGCACTCCTCCCCTGGCTGATGGGAGCCTCCAGAAGGAGGTGCATTGGGATTGAGGATTGCTGGGGGTCACCCTCTGCTCCCAGGCACTGCCTAGAAGCAGCAGGGGCTGTGACTGGAGGAGTCTCCCCTGCCAAGGATTCTTAATGGTGTGGGCTTGGCTGGGGGGTGGGGCAGTCACACAGTTCCTTGGAGGTGTCCCTGCACTGCTCAGGGGACATGGCCCCTGTCTTGGTCTGAAGGAGCCCATTGGGGAGGAATGTGGAGAAGGGAAGTGAGGCTTAGGGCTTCTTGCTTGGCTGGGGTATGTCCTATCCCAGGGTTGCTGAAATTTGGTTTCAGGAGAGCCTGAGGTGTACTCTTCCTTTCTCCCTCTTGGGAGCTGAGAAGGAGAGTGTCCCTCACAGTCTGGGAATCTGGAGGGTGTCTCTCTGGAGCAGTGAAGCCAGGATCAGCTTCTGTCTGTCTGTCCAGCTTCCTTCCTTCCGGGTTTTTCTGACACCCCCTCCTCCCTCCTCCTTCTGTCTGTCTGCTGCTTGGGGTGTGTGTCTGTGTCTGGGGGAGCCTCTGCTGCGGCAGGAAAAGTGTTGCTCTGGGAGAGGTGAGCTGGGCATGTGACTGAGCCCTGGGAAAGGGGCTTGGAGGCCCCCTTGATCTTTGGCCTGGGTTTCCTGTTTTACATAGGAAAGCTGTCTTCGCACTGTATCTGCTGTAACCCTACAGATGCCTTTGGGCAGCTCTCCGAGTGAGACTTCCAGGGTGGGTGGGCTTCCACTCCTCTTCTTCTCCCTCCTCCTCAGCCTCTCCAGGGAGCAGCCACTTCTTTTGGCTGGGGCTGCCTGGCTCGTCTGCTGCCTCCCCAGCTCGGGCTTGACTGCCTTCTCTGGGTCAGGACCACAATTTCATGGCCCCAGGGGAAAAGCACGTTCAGGCCCTGTCTTTCTGGTGTCAGCCTGAGGTGCCTGCTGATAGAAGCCTCAGGACAGGGTGAGAATGGGAGAGGAAGGTGAGGGGCAGGGGGAGTCTGGTGCCAGGAAGGAAGGTGCTTCCTCCCCGAGGTGATCAGGCTCCTTGGCCTTGGAGAACCAGGCCTGAAGGCCAGCCTTCTGGCCACCTCCCTCTAGAGGTTCTCTGCTTACCTGTGTTGCTTCTGATTGGGGACAGGAGGGAGTTAATGTTGGAAAGGGTGCTGCGGAGAGGTAGAATACCTCTAATCTTGGATCCAGAGTAACTCTTGTGCTTGGGGTAGCAGGGGCCCATGGCTGAAGATAGGTTCTGGAGGTCCATATGGAGGTTCAAAATGAGTCTCTAATTACCGGGGCTGAGGGTCAACGTGGGAAGAGATTACAGCATCCCGAACAGGATCAGTGGTTCGTGGAAATCGAGGACTAGCACAACAGTGGTGATGAGAGACCTAGGGAACTTGCTTACTGAATCTGTGTTGGGCATCCACGACTCTGTTTGGGTAGTTCCTGCCTCCCAACTTCTGGGTACCTGAGAGCCCTGGGTTGGGAACTCTACTTCCACGAACAGACAGGGCAGTAGCCTTCTGGGCAGAGGCCTAGTGGGTGGCAGTGTCGACTCAGCAAGGGCTGGAATGCCTGGCACCTGCTTTAGATTAAAGGAGATGCCTGCAAAGGAGGGCTGCCTGCCTGTGGGGGGAGTGGCTGGGATAGAGCTCCGTGGAGCCCAGGAGTAGGGTGGAAGGAAAGAACCAGGGTTGCGGGCAGCAGCAGCTCTGGCAGGAGTGGAGGGAGCCAGCAGTCATCTAGCTCTGCAGCCCCTCCTCCAGGGAGTCTAAGACAGGAGCGGGGGGCACCCCCACACTGCCTCTGGCGCCACAGGCTGAAGTTCTGTCCCAGCGCCCAGGGGGGCAGCTTCGGGGAGCCAGGGTGTCTGCGTGTTCAGTATTCCAGGACTGGAAGAGGCCTGCAAGGAGGTGGGGGCACTTTGGGGTTCTTGTTGCCCTGAGGCTCTGTGTCCTCTTCCTGGGACTCCTAGTTGCTGGTAGTGAGGCACCCCAAGAGCCTGGGCACCCAGGGGTGATGGAGAAATGGCATCCCTTTCTTGTGCCAGGAGCCCTGGGCACTGCCCTGGTGCTGACCTGGGGGAGGAGGCAGAGGGGGATGGCACCGTGGGAAAGTGGGCAGCCGTGGGAGCCAAGCGGGTACAGGCTGGGTGCCGCGGGCAGGGAGCCTCTGCCAGGCCCGCTCTCCCTGGGGTGGGGCTGGCTGTTCCAGGGACTGGCTCAACCTGTTGAGCACCTGGCTGCTCTAGCTTGGCATCTGTACCCCTGCCTGCCAGCCCTGCCAGCTGCCCATCTTTAGCCACACTATGGGGGCTTCCCCCAGGGATCTGGGAAAAGGAGGCTCTGACTGGCCAAGGGGCCAGGATGGGGCTGGTAGAGGCTCCTCCAGGGAAGGCTAAGTTTCCCCAGGTCCCATCCTCTAACTACCAGAGCTGGAGCTAGAGCTAGTTGGAGGGCCAGGTAGCCAGAGGCTAGGAGGGGCTAGGTGAAGAAGGCCACAGCTTTAGAGCTCTTGAGGTGCTGCAAGTCACTTGGATGTGCAGCCCTGGAAGCAGCCTGGAGTTACAGCCTGGAATTTCCTCTGCTGGGTGCCAGGGCCAGGCCTCCAGAGCCCCACCCCCAGCCTGGCCTGACCTCCCCTCCCTGGGAGAGAACTGCCGACTTTCCCTGGAGGTTGGGGGAGGGGCAGTAAGGGCATTCTGCTGCCCTGGGAGGAGACGGGTGACTTCCTGGGTGTGGGGTTATGTTGTACTGTCTCAGTCTCCCCAAGGGCCCCCGCTCCCCATGGAGAGGGGGATGTCCTGGGGTCCCAGGAAGATGTCCTGCACTCTGCTCCTAGTGTAGGGAGTCCTGGGTCCCATGGAAGATCCCTGACCCCTGCAGGCCTTTGCTGTCCTCCTATACCCTCTGACCCTTTAGCTTTAGGTCCACCTTGGTGCTCTGCTAGCACGTGGGGAAGGGGAGCCAGGGTGCCACTCTGTAGGGAAAAAGGTGATCACCACTGCCCATAAGTGGGGCGAGGGGGCACAGGCAGGGTCCCCCTTCCTCTCTGTCCTGAAGGGAAGGGCGGTCTCCCCTGCCTTCTCACTTTTCCAGTCTGGGGCAGAAGCAGAGGCCTCTCCTTCTTTGCCTCCTTTCCACCCCAGGCCCTCCCTGCTTGGCCCTGGGCCGCCTGCCCCTCCTAACCTTGGTGTCTCTTCTAGTTCCCCTTCCCCAGGGGCTGGGACTCCCTCTGTCCAACCCCCTCCTCCAGTGGGCTGGTGGCCCTACACTGCCCTGTCTTCGCCCTCCCCCTCACTCTGCACCCCCTAGCCTCAACTGGGAATGGCCCTTGAATCCAGCATTTCCAGCATTTCGAAACCAGGATTGTTTTGAAATCCCTGAGTACTTCTCCACCCCCCTCTGACTCCCCTCCTCCCCACTAGCCCAGAATTGATGCTGTGCGTTGCCAGAGTGTGTGTGTGTATAAGTTTGTGTGCTAGCACGTGGCCATGTGCGTACTACTGTGAGAGTGTATGTGTATGTGTGTGTGTATCCCAGTGTGGGTGTATCTTCTGTCTGTCAGCAGTTCTGTGTGACTGGCCGATGTTCTTTGTATTTCCTGAGCTTTCCTGGGCCGCCTCTGCGAGTTTGGGAGCCTCTATGGGTCTTAAGGAGCCATTCTTGGGGAGTTTGGGGTTATTTTTAGGGGGTATCTTGGATGTGTGTCTTTGGGAGCTTTGTTGGTTTGTGTCTCAGTTGCACGTGTCTGGGAGTATCTCTGAGGAGTGTGTGTGCCCTGAGTTGTGTCTCTTTGATGAGTACTTGTGCCTGTGTGTGCACATGCGTGCGCTCCGCTTCTGTTCCCGCCTCTCTCCTCCTCCCTCGGAACATGTCTGGGTGTGTAGTCACAGGTCTCTCCGCAGCTCCCTGGGACATGGAGTCCTTTGTCCTTTGATAGGGAGGTTTCCTGGAGTGAGGCCAAGGCTTCTGGCAGTTCTGTGGTCCTTGGAGAGAAAGTGGTGGAGTGGGGAGACTTGGGGATAAACAGTCCCCAGGGTCGGCTCTCTTCTTCTGCCCCTCATGGACACCCAGCACCTTGAGAGATCCCAACACTACCAGTCCACCCTCTTCTTGTCCTGATGATACAATGGTGGCTGTCATAGGGAGGCCCAGCTCGCTCTAAAGGAAAGGGCTGGGGAAAGGGAGTCAACCCTCCGCCCCTGGGGACACTTGCTTCATTGGGAACGAGAAACAGCCAGCCACATTAGACCTGGGAGCTTGATGGCTCATTTAAGATTCAGAAATGTTGACTTCTCTAGACAGCAAAACCAGACAAGACTGTCATATTTCCAGCCTGAGTAGAAGACAGAGGGGCCTGGAATCCTAAGGGGGTGATGTACCACCCCAGAAACATGAGGCGTTTGGAGTGGGGCCAGCTGCCATTGTAGCCTTGATCCTGGGAAGTCCTTGATGTTTAATCTCATTCCTTCCTTCTGCAGTTAGACGATGTTCTACAGGAGGGGAGGTTGCCAAGGGGGCTTTTTTTTTTTGGCCAAAGCAAACGTGGTGATAGCAAAGTTATGTCTGCATGGGGTGTGGGCATTGGAACCCCTGATATCTTCCTATGACTCAATTTCCCATCCTGGGATCTTAGGCTATAATTGAATGCTTTCCTCTAGAAGCACTTTTGGCAATCAGTGAGGAAGAAAATGGCTGGGGCAGGGGCTGTTTGTTTCAGTCAAGGGCCTGAGGAGACAGCAGCAGGAGATGGGCAGAAGGATAAGCTGTCCCTTTTACATCCCCTCCCCCCAATGGCCTCTGGTCCCAGGATGCAGTGGGAGGGAGGGAGGGAAGGGTAGAGGCACAGGTTGGTACAGCGCTCAGTGACCCAGCAGGGGGAAGGCCTTGGCAAGGAATTTTCAGTTTGTTTCTCAATCTCTGTGTCTGAGACACGCACACACACGTCACTGCAGACACCTTCAGGAGATGAGCCTAGAAAAGTCACCCAGGTGGCGGTAGGGCAGGGCAGTACCAGATGGGGCCATGTGAAACCAGTCTCATTCTGGCAGACGCCCAGTGCTTGCCCCCTAGAACTGAAAGTTGAGCCTAACCGGAGGTCCCCTTCCCAACTCCCCCATCCTGGGCCTGGGAGCAACACAGGCTGGAGAGGGTTAAGTCTGGTTGGCAGGGACACCCCCCCCCCCAAGTGCAGTGAGCGAGAGAGGGAGGGGTGGTTAGCAGCTTGCTCTAGTTGGCGTCTCTCCCAGAATTCTTCGGAAAAGAACTCCCCTTTGACCCCCAGTACAAACTGAGCCCAGCCACCAGCCTCCCTCCCGCCTGCCTGCCTGTGGGAGCGTCCCCCAGCCCCCTTCTACTGAACTGCTAAGCCTGATTCTCTCACCCCAGGCCTTCCCAACCAGGCTGTGCCCCCAGGGCTTTGCGTCTTTGAGGGGACCAAGGGTGTAGCCAAGGAGACCACACAGGTACATAGGACCCACACCATTCTTTTCCCTGACAGTATAACCCTGGGGGTGGCTGGTGCTGGAAGCTGGGGTCCTCAGGCCTCCCCATGTAACCCTCCCCCCAAGGTCCTCAGGCCAGGTCGTGGGAGTCATCTGCCCCTCCTCTCTCCCTGTGGGGCCCAGCTCTGAGGGAGCTCTAGGCATCTTCCAGTGCCTTCTCCTTTCCTGCTTCCAGGATAGGGAGGGGGAGCAGTGTGGTGGGGCAGCTGGGTCAGGCCTGGCTCCCAGCCAATCCACAGAAGTCCTGGAGGGGGGGTGGTGTCCCAGTAGCTCAGAGACTTCCTGGAGCTGCAAGCTGTGTGTATGTGTGTCCATGTTTATGTGGTGTGCCTGTTGGGGGTGGGGCTGGGACTATGGGAGGGACAGGGGCATAGATTGCTGGCCTGGGGCTTCTAGTTGTGACCCTCTCTCCACAGGGAACCCCCATCCCAGACCACACCCTTGAGCCTGAGCCCGACACACATTATTCCTGAGGTGAGAGGTCTGTGTGCTTGTGTGTGTCTCCACAGCCTCCTTGCTGATCTGTCTGCCGTAGCTCCTGCTTGCCTTTTTGTCTTGGGGCCCCTCCTCCTGGCTTTCTGCCCCCATTCCTCTTTTCATTCTCCTCCCCCCCAAGAGGGAGGGCTAACAGCCTTACAACCTGGAACCTGGTAGGGAGTGGGGGCGGGGCGGGGTGAGAAGGGTTAAAGGGCCACTCAAGTGAAAGTCCCAGCCTTCTTAGTGGATCCTTTCCCTGGGGTGGGAGGTGGGGAGCTCCTGCCCAGTTACCCCTGGAGGACAAGTACGATTTCCTGGTCATCCCAAGTGCTTGCTCCCCCTTGACAGGGGCTTTGGCCTCAGCTGTGGTTTCTGCCCTGGCCCCTAAACACACACACACACACACACACACACCCACCCACCCAAACACACAGGCTCTCTCCCTACTGCCACCCCCCTCCTTCCCTCCCTCCCCTCCTTACTTACTTAGCAACAGCTCCCTGAATTCACAACAAACACACCCGTAGGCTCCTGGTCTGACTAGGGAAAGCTAGAGAAAGCTGAGGACAGGGAGGAGGCACTTCTAGACTGTCCTCAGGGGAGAGGGGCTTCTAATCCCCCTCCCCCGCTGGAGGCCACTACCCCTCAGGGACAGGGTAGAAGTGGTCATGCTTTCAACTCAGACAATGAAAAAAGTGGGGACCAGTGACAGGTGTCGCTGAGCAGGTAGGGGGGCAGGGCTTGACTCCACCCCTCACTAGTGAGTCCCACTTGACCTTTGACCCCCACCTGGGAAGTGGGAGGGGCAGCAGACTCCTCTCCAGCCCTTGGGCCTCTCTCAGCAGGGGCCCTGTGCTGCTGTCATGGTAACTTGCCTTACTCCCTCTCCTGACTCTTAGGGACTAGGATGGGTGAGGATATAACGGATTGGGGTGGGCGGGGCCGGGGGGCGCGGCCCCATAACTTTGCTCCCAGAGCACCAGCCTGGCTGGGGACACCCATGTTGAGGGGGTGGGGCATGGTGCCCTCTTTTTGATCTCTTCCCTGGGCAGGAACTATGGCCTCTAGCTAGGACCTGGTACACATCAGGCACGGAGAGACTGTGTGCAGAATGAGTGAGGGAAGCACCCCTTTTGTCATAGCGCAGAGGGCTGATACCAGGGTGAATCTGTCTTGTGAAATGGTTGAGAATCCAATTGCTGGAGCGTCTAGGTCCAAATCCTGAGTCTTCTAATTATGGACTGTGTGTGCCTTAGGCAAGTTACTTAACTTCCCTGTGCCTCAGTTTTCTTTTTTTTTCTGTTTTTTTTTTTTTTTTTTTTTTTTGTGAGGAGATCCACCCTGAGCTAACATCCAATGCCAATCTTCCTCTTTTTTGCTGAGGAAGATTGGCCCTGGGCTAACATCTTCCTGTGCCCATCTTGTGCCCATCTTCCTCCACTTTATATGGGACGCCGCCACAGCATGGCTTGACAAGCGGTGCGTTGGTATGCGCCCGGGATCTGAACCCGCAAACCCCGGGGCCGCTGAAGCAGAGTGCACGCACTTACGCTCTATGCCACCGGGCTGGCCCCCAAGCCTCGGTTTTCTTATCTGTAATGTGGGGAGAATAAAAGTACTTTCTTGTAGAGTTGTTCTGAGGATTAAATTAGATAATGCCTGTGAAGCATCCAGGACAGCTCATGGTACAGAGTAAATGCTCAATAAATGTTAGAGTTCCTCCTCATTATTATTAGTCATAGCTCTTCACAGGAACTCTTGACCTCCCAGGGGCTTTAGCAGGGGAAGAATGATGGGGGTGGGAGGAGTGTGGGGGTCGGGAAGAGACAATCTTTCCAGCACTACAGACTCCTAGATTCTAATACCCTTCCAGGCCCACCTTCTTGCTGCCTCAGTGTTCCTGCTGTTGGTGCTGGCTGACATCTCGATTGCAAGTTTGCCAAATAGCCATGGGCCTGGCAAGGGACCTGGAGGACTTAGGATGTGTCTCCCTCCCTGTCTCCCAGCACTTCTCAGGGCTGAGTCCTCCCTCCCCCAGGCTGTTAGCTCAGATCAGCTTCAGCGCCCTCCCACCATCTCATCCCCTGCTGCTCTGTTCCTTCGCCAGGCTGAACAAGACATTCTGTCCTTAAAGATCTTCAATGGCCTCCTCCTCTCCTTCCTGGCCTGAGGGGTCAGGGACCTTCCTTGGGGAGAAAAGTGGCAGTGTGGAGCTGTGACGTGGATGGCAGCTGTTAGACCTGCCTCAGGGCCCAGGGTCCGCTGGATTCCCTACACTTTGCCTGGGCATTTTCCCTGAGTGTGGCAGGGCCGTGCCCAGGCGTGTGATATGTATAGAAACCCACATGGGCATGCTTGGCACCTGCTGCACACAGATGGGCAGGGAGGAGGCATCCTGAAGCCCAGAGGAGGGGTGGGGTCATATTAGCATCCATGGCGTCCAGAGGACACCCCCAGAATCCTTTCCTGGGCCACCTGGGTGACAGTGGGCAGTGCTGGAAAAAGTTCTGCTTCAGCCCTGCGTGCCCTGGGGCAGGGCAGGGGAGAATGCTGAGTGAGGCAGGTGAGCAGGGCTCCTAAAGGCCCTGGGATCAGAGTGGGATGGGGGAGGGGCTGAGGCTTGGAACTTCTGGGTGAGGAGCCCAGGAGTGGGCAGCAGGGATAGGATGTCCACAATGAGGGAGCTCTGCAGACGGGTGGTTTGGATCTTCTGGGGAGTGAATGAATGTCCGGATCTCAGGAGAAAGTTGATTCGATGTGGCAGAAGTGCCTGGGACACCAGAGCTCCTAGGTCTGAGGCCTGGGCTTGGCTAACACATACCTTCTCTGGCCTGGTACCAGGAGGGGAGGGCTGGAGCACCTGGCTCTACTCGCCACTTCCTTCTGGAACCAGAGGGGACCCCTCCCTTCCATGGGTCTGGGAGTGAGGGCTCAGAGTTGGCCTGGGCCATGCCCCCCTGCTGGGCTGGCCATGCCGCCTGTGCCCAGCCCCTGGGGCCTGTTCCTTGGGCAGGCTGGGGCTATTTTTGGGATTGGGCTGGGGCTCTGGGGCTGGTTTCAGATGTTCCAATGTGAACAGGAGAAAATGGGAACAGATGGCTGGAGGGTTCCAATCAGCGGGTCCTGCTGGGAGCAGGTTATTTTTAGGGCCTTATTAACCCTTTTGGGGCCAGTGGAGCCACCCTGAGGGGGAAGCCCTCTCTGGTTGAGAAGAGAACAGGTCTTCTCCCCGGACCTCTACTTTCCAGAACTGCGTGTCCCATTTGCTCTTTTTCCCCTCTCAGACCCTCTACTCTTTAAAGAGGTCTGTGGCAGGAAAGTGGGCTCCAGTTTCCTTCTATCCCAAACCCTGCAGGGAGACTGCCCAGAGGTCAGGCAGGGAGGGGTGCCTGGTGGAGGGGTGCCTGCAGGCCACTGTTGAAGGGAAACCCCACTTCACTTGCCTCTTGGGGTTTTGAGACACAGACCTGAGGCTAAGAGAGTAGAGAACCGCTCTCCCCTGAGTTCACGCTCTGGGTTTGTGTATGTTGGGAAACCCAGTGATGCCCAGGGGAGTGCGAGCCGAGGGAGGAGAGCAGAGGGAGAGCCAAGTCGTTGTGCTTGGTACCACTAATATGATGCCCATGGATATCTATTATCATCATTCCCTTGGATACTCCAAGGGCAAATATCTGGACAATGCCCACCTTTACCAAATGCCTATGTATTTGGGTGCCATGCAGGGAGTAAAGAAGGGGACATCATGGCCAGAGGTGGTATGTTGAGGGCTGAGTATGTCATAGGCATTCTGTTAGATAGTTTCACTGAAGTATCTCACTCTATAAATTTATCCTCATTTTGCAGATGAGGAAACTGAGGCCCAGAGGGACGAAGGGATGGACAAGGTCCTGTGGCTCAGAAGGGGCAGGATGTGATTGGCACCCTGTCTGCCTGACTGCAAACCCATTTCTCATTCTACTGCATCACTCACACATTGCCTGCCAGTGTCCCAACCCCACAGGGCAAGGCTGCCAGGGCACCAGACCTCCTTGGGGAGCAGGTTTTTGGAAGGAGTGTAGGAATGGAGGCCTGGGGGCAGGGGACCCTGCCTGTCATTGCTCTCACAATCCCCTAAGCCCTTCTTGCCTGAGGGTGCCAGGACTGACACCAGAAACCCCATTTGGCCTTCCTGTCTTCCCTGCAGGAGGATCACAGGCATACATCCTGTCTCGTCAGCCCCCACCCCCACCCTGTCCTGGCCTACATGCCCCTGCTTCCTGTAGGGTCATGGCAGTCTGGGTGTCAACGTGGGCAGAGCTCGAGGCCCTCCAGGTGCTGTTGGTGCCAAGAGTTTGGGCCAGGCAGGCGAGGTGAGGGGGCTGGGAGGATGTCTCCGCTGCTGGCAGTACCTGGGGGAGAGAGCAGAGCGGAGGGCAGGCGGCGTTGGGTGAGGTCCCGCCCCGTGGTGCGCTGGCTGTGCCAGCAGTCTGCCCGCACTCCACTCCTCCCACAATGGCCCCATTGTTCCCAGCCGCCAGGCAGTTTGGAGGAGGTTCCTAGGCCACCCCTAACCCGCCCCCCACCCAAACAGGGGCCAGATTAACCCCTTAGAGGACAGAGGCCAGGTGAGGGCCCACAGGGCGCTCCCTGCCCATTCCTCCCTTTTGGGAATCCAGGCTTGGGAAATCACCTTCTACCCACGTGTACCCAGCAACAGGGCACCTCCAGAGATTGGGGTCTCCCACAGGGTAGGCAGTAGCATCTAGACCCTCTCCCACCCCCACCGTGGTGCAGGTGCCAGGGGCCAGGAAGTGCCAGTGGGGTGGCAGGCGGAGACAGATATATTTGGGCCGGTGGGGCTAATTCCAGCCACCGCCGCCTGCCCTACTGGCTCCTGAGCTCCTTTCCTTCCTGTGAAACCAGAGCTGGGTTGGGCCTAGCTCAGGATTTCGGTGGATTTAAAGAGGCAGCACCATCCCTGCCAGCCCCTCTTCCTCTCCCCCTCCCCAGGTAGGGTCTGGGGCAGAGAGAGGACTGGAAAGCTTCTTGCTCCTCCCCTGCCCTGGGCTAACCCCTGCCCCTTGTTCCAGTGGGGGTACCAGGCACTTGGCACTCCTCTCTCCCAGAGCTTTGGGCGGGTGGGGTGGGCGGGGGTGGGCTGTGGTTTCCTGTGTTGGCTGTTTGTGCCTGGCCCAGAGTGCCCGCCGCCTGCCTGGCTTCCTGCCCTGTCTTGTTTCCTTGTGCCCCCCACCCTCTTCTCCCCTCCCTCCTGTGGGAGGGAGTAGCCAGGGATTGGGCAGCACCTTGGGGGCACCCCACTGCCAGGAGATGACCACTTCCCAAGGCCTGGCCACACTGGCACTGGCTGAAGGAGCCAAGTGAGGTGACCTCAGGCTTGTCCAGCCAATGCCACTTGTCCCTTTAGCCTTCAGAAGGGACAGTGGGCCCTAGAATGGGCAGAATCTCCCCCAGAAGCACCCTGTTCAAAGACCCCAGACTAGAAAGGTCTGGGGCCAGGAGTTTCCATGTCCCTGCAGAGTTGGGGTTGCCTGACATTATCCTGGGGCTGCAGGTGGGGTGGGGCTGGAAACTCCCAGACAAAAATGGTTGATTTGCATGGTCTCCTTTAGCAGGAGGTGGGGGGAAGTGGGGTGAGCTGCTAGGAACCAGGCTGAGAGGGGAAGGCCCCCAAGCCTGGAAGTCCCCACACAGAGGGTCCTAGAGCAATACCTTGTTTCTTGAACAGACTTCCTGCTGGGCTATGAATCCTTGACCTCCCCACCCGGCTGAGTCACCACCTCAGGAAGAGGAAGTGACCTGGGTGGTAGAGGAGAGTTTCTGGGGACCGAGGAGTCCTGACTTGGGAGAAAGGGGACTTGGGAGCCTGTTGTCTTGGGAGCTGTGTTTCCCTGAGCCAGAGGCCAAGGACCCCACCCCTATTGCTTCCAGCAGGTCCTGTCCTTTCAGCCATTACAGAGGGTCCTAGCAGCCCATTTCCTCTCCAAAGGTGTCTGCCCACTGCATGTGGAAGTGCCAGCCCTCCCAGCAGTTTTCTCATTGCCTCTTTTAGGTGGTTCTGAGCTAGGCAAGGAGACTGGTGGACAGGCTGGTGAACCAAGCAGAGGCTCCGAAGGTGGGGGCAACTGGAAATAGGCAGGTTGCCACTGGTGTGTGAATGCCCATTGTATCTGTGGCAGTTCTGTGTTGAGCAAGGAGCTAGTATGTCACACCTGGAGGCCCTGGACATCCATGGAAGCCTTGTTGGTCTCCCTCCCAGCTGGGGTCAGGCCCACTGTCACCCTTAGGCCACTAGCTCTCCCACCCCCAAGTTGCATGGGGAGGGCAAAAGATCTCAGGCTAATTGTCTCCACAGCCTCCTGGGCTCTATTCTCTCCGGTATGCTCCTGGCCTTTCTTTTAGGTGACTCGCACCTGCTCCCTGTTTGTGAGCACATGTCACCACTCCCCACCCTACCCCCTAAGAGGGAGCCACAGCCACGTGTTCCCAGAGCCCCTTTCCTTTCACCCATCTCAGGGGCTCCTAGCCTGGTGCTGGGAAGCCCTCTTCACCCACTGTTTGTTTAGAAACTGCACCCACCAGGACTCAGCCCTCCTGCCTCCCATCCCTTCCAGGTCTCTTCTGGGGCTGTGTGTAGAGGAGGAGGGGTCTCTGGGAGCTGGGGCCAATTCCTGAGGGGTAGATGGGGGGAGGTGTGAGATGGGAAAGTTCTGACTCATCCGTGCTTGACTCAGCTTGCCCTGCGGCTGGGTGGGAGCAAGGGGGGTGGAGTCCTTGAGGGGAGGGCAACTCCAAGATTCTTCTGTGGAGGAATCTTGGCCTGACTGGGGACACTCAGGAGGACTCATTTTCCCCTTCCCAAATTATCACAGATGCCAATATTTGAAGCTGTAAACATAGGAGGTAGTGGGTGGCCATTGCCCTGCCCCTGCCCCCTACAGGGGGCTAGGCTCCAAGGCAGGCACGTGGGTAGCCCACCTATCTAGTGCAGGCTTGGATGAGCAGTGGTAACTCGGAGGGGAGGACACTGCAGTGTAGATTTCTTCTACAGGCAGGAATGGGGTGTTGGTGCTGCCATGTACTGGTCACATGACCCAGGGCAAGTCACTTTCTTTTCCCAGGCCTCAGTTTCCTCATTATGAAATGGGGGTAATAATACTGTCCGGGTAGGTGGTAGGTAGTTTTGAGGATCAGTGAGGTGGTGAAGGTGCGAGCCTAAGACCCCTGTCAGCCACAGGCCTGCCCCTAAGCCCAGGGGCGCCTCCAGCTCTTCCCGCCTCAGCTCCAGCCCTTGTGATGCAGAGATGGGGGCTGGCAGTAGGCTGCTTCCCAGCCAGGCCCTGGACTTTGGAACCTTCCCCTGAGGAGCCTCCCTCCCCAGAGACAGAGCTGGAGCAGGGAAGGCCAATGTTCCCCGGGGTTAAGTTAGGGCTAGACTCCCACAGGGTCACTGGTGGGGGCCCCTTCACCCGCAGGTCCCAGCCCAGCCTCCAGCAGCCGGCAGGGAGCAGCGGGGTGTGCACCGGTGTCAGGCTGGGCCTGTCACCAGGACAAGGCTCTTGCCCCAAGACTCCTCTCCTCCTCCACGCCTTACCGGGATCGGCTGGGGGGGTGGGTAGGGCAGGGGGCGGTTGGGCGAGGCTTCTGTGTTTAAGTCTGTTGGTGGTGGTCTATCTATGGCCCTGTGTGTGTGTTTCTCTGTGACTACCAGGCTCAACTTTCTATGGCTCCCTAGTGGCCAGGCCTCAGTCTTTTCATCTGTTCAATGAGTCCGCGCGCTCCCTCTCTGCCCTCTGGCAGCCCCGGTGTCCGCGGGTGCCCCGGGCTGTTTCCGTCGCTCCGGCTCGGGCCAGCGCCTGCCGGGCCCGCCAGCGCACCTCCGCGGGGCCGCCGTGAGCGCGCCTCCAGTTTCCTGGGCTCCGTGCGTGTCTTTGTCTCCCCGTCCACGTGTGGGCTGTGAGTGTGTGTGAGTCCGAGCTCGGGGGCTGGGGGTCTCCGAGCCCGGCCCGGCGGCCCCCCGCGGCGCGCCCAGCCCCTCGCGCCCTGAGCGGTGTGTGTGTCGGGCGGCGCGCCGCGGTCCCCCCGGCTCCCGCTCCCTCGCCTGCCAGCTCGGTGGCTCTCTCGCTCGCTCGCTCTGCCTCTCCGCTTGGGCTCTGCCGAGGGGGGCGGGGTGGGGTGCAGGGGCGGGGGAGGGGAGGCTCCTGCATTCTTGCGGTCGGGGAGGAATCCGAGCCAGCGTTACTGGTCTCCAGAAGAGCCCAGCTGCAGCCCCGGGGCCCCGCCAGGCCTCTCCCTGCCCGCCCGGGCCTGCTGGGATGGGCACGGGCTAGGCCTCGAGCTGGGGGCGGGGCGAGGCATGGCCCCCACCCCCGGGCCCCTCCACGCCGGGGGCGCCCCGGGGCGGGGCGCAGCAATGGGAGCGGGCGTGAGGGTTCCCCACCCTGGGTGAGGGGCGTGCCTGGGAGCGGGAGTCCCCCAGGGGGCCAGAGCAGACCTCACGGCCGCCCCCCGCGGGCGCCTTTGCAACTATCCTTTTAGTGAACTCTGCCTCTGCGGCCCGGGGGCCTCGCTAGAGACTGCAAGCTCCCTGAGGGTAAGGTGCGGGAGGGATGGCGATAGGACCGGCCTCTCAGATGAGACCCCACCTAGTAGTCCTTCCTTTCCATTCCCACCCTACCCTATCCAGTTCCCTAGTCCCAGGGCTGTCGGGTCATCCCTTCTCCCCTCCCCTTCCTACACCCCCTCCCCAAGTCACAAGTTTTCTCTTTGGGGCTTGTTGCTGCAGTCCGTGCTCCAGTACCGAGTACCTGGCTGGGCCCTGGGCACGCACAGGGGCCGTAGCCCCACTGTGTGTGGGAGCCATGAGGATCCTGGCTAACAAGACAAGGTGTGTGGGTGTCGTGGAGGGCGGGATGTGTGTGTGTGGAGTGCGGGGAAGGGAAGGGCCCCGTGGTGATGGGGCTGAGCTGTGCTGGCTTGGAGAGCGAGCCTCTCTGGGCACCTGGCTTCCAGGCCACCGGTGGGCTAAAGGGGTGTCAGAATGGGAAGGCCTGCCCCAGCCTTAGTGCCTGAGGACAGAGGGGAATGGCAACCAGCTATGCCTGCTATTCTAGTCCCTTCCAGCCCTTTCCTCTTAAAAACAGCTTGAGCAGACCCTGGCCCACCTTACTGTCAGCCCTCTGTCAGGCCCACCGTCTGGCCCACTGCTGCCCTCTGGGCTCAGTCTAGCTGAGGGTGGGAGCTGGAGAGAGGGGCGGTGCCTGACTCCCTCCCCTTCCCCAGGAGAAGCTGGCAGACAGGGCCAGGCAGCAGCAGCAGGACAGCAGAGCTGAAATAAATCTGAGCTGGTGTGGAATGAGGGGGGATAAATATCCTCTCCCGTGATGTGATCTTTCCAGCGGCTATTAATAGGTCTCCGGGGAGGGGGAGGCGGTGGGGGGAGCGGGCTGGAGCTTAAAGGGCCCGCAGCCTGGGCTGCCGGAATCCTTGGCTTCGAGCTGCACTCGTTTGTTCAACACACCACTCCCCTCCCCCTTCCTCCTGCTCCTGCCTGCCCGCCAGGCCTGCCGGTGGACCCTTTCCAGGCTTGCCGCCCCTGCTCTGGGAGTTGTCTGGACCAGTGGGTACCACTCTGATGTGCTTTTCCGCACTTCCACAAGGGAATGGGGCTGGGACATGAGCAGAGACCCTCAGGTCCTGTGCCCCTTCCCTACTGGTGTTGGGACACATGGAAGTTGAGGTTGGGGACCTTGGAAGGAGTTTGGAGACAGAAAACCCTAGAAGAGAGGATGCCTAAGTGTTGGTCAGGTGCTAGTAGAGGGGGGTTGCCATGGAGGCTTGCAGTCTGAAGGATGCTGGGGTTTGGGGGTTGGTGGATTCTGCCAAAACAAGGCCCCTGGTTTTCATTTGAATTGTGGGGACTGGGGAGTGAAGGGGGTTGCCTCATCTTTGCTCCCCAAGGTAGAGAAGGGCATCAGCTCTTGTCTGAGGAGCCGTGGCGGGAGGTAGGGAATAGTTGGTGGTCTTAAGATGCCGCTCAACCCCCACCTCCCCCACCATTAGGTGAAGCTGGATGGGGCAGTTAAAATCCAGGCATGCTAAGCCCCTAGCAAGAATAACTTTTCATGTCTCTTCCACCTTCTCCCAGGTTACCCCACCCCAGGAGGAGAGAAGCTCCAGGGAGCCCGCCGCTGTCCCCTCGCGGCCACTGCCCCCCTGCCCCAGCCAAGCCAATGCACCCAGAAAATAAGTTGACCAATCATGGCAAGACAGGGAATGGCGGGGCCCAATCCCAGCACCAGAATGTGAACCAAGGACCCACCTGCAACCTGGGCTCGAAGGGCGTGGGGGCGGGGAACCATGGGGCCAAGGCCAACCAGATCTCACCTAGCAACTCAAGTCTGAAGAACCCCCAGGCAGGGGTGCCCCCTTTCAGCTCGCTCAAGGGCAAAGTGAAGAGGGAGCGGAGCGTCTCTGTGGACTCTGGAGAGCAGCGAGAGGCTGGGACCCCGTCCCTGGATTCAGAGGCCAAAGGTACCCCGTTTCCTGATCCCCACGACCCCAGCATCTTCCACAGTCCAAGGCTCAAACTTACTGGGAGACCATCTTTGTGTCCCCCTTGCCTAATCATCTTCCCTTGCTCCTCTCCAGCATTTGTCGCAGGAGCCCTTTCTCTTACTCCCATTCTCTCTGCCAACCTGGTCATTCTCTCAGGATTGGTTGGGGTTGGCCAGGGTAGGGATTTCTCATCCTTAGGTGCCACCCATGGAGGGGCCACACAGAGTGATGGGGCTTACGGTCAGTCTCATTCCTCTCCTGCTTTCCCACCAGAGCCCCCAGAGCCGGAGAGGGAGGTGCTCTGGGGTAAGGAGCAGACCCACACACCTCCCAGGAACCTCCTGGTATCCGGGCTGGTGGGAGCTGTTGAGCAGGCACTGGGGCCTGGAAGAGTAGCAGCGGCTTCCCCCACCCGCCCCCCCCAGCCCTAATTAGAACCAGTTGTGGTTGGGGATTATGCTGTACTTGGTGCTGGGTGGGGGAGGGGAGACAGGCAGCAGGGCTATAGAGAGAAATCAGAAACAAATGGTGGTGTGGTGGGGGCCAAGGGCTGGCAAAGTGCCCACAGTGGCCTGGGCAGTGCCCTCTGGGGTGGGACATCTGGGAGAATGGTCCTGGGAGGAACCCTGGGTGTGGGAGGACAAGGCCTCTGGATACTCGCTCTGACCCTTGCCTGCCTCCGTCCTGCCTGGGCAGAGGTGGCACCCCGGAGTAAGCGGCGTTGTGTGCTGGAGCGGAAGCAGCCATACAGTGGGGACGAATGGTGCTCAGGACCGGACAGCGAGGAGGACGACAAGCCCATTGGGGCCACCCACAGTGAGTGCCCATCGATGCCAGGATGCTGTGGCCCATGGTGTCCCCAGGGGATGGCTGCCCTGAGGGAGCCTCCTACTCCTTGCCTAGGGCCTTAGAGGGCTGAGCCTGGGCAAGGAGCAAGGGTCAGGAGCCCAGGCTCCTTCTCTCCCATCCCACCTCTCAGACTCAGGCCCTCCCTGCACTGTGACAGCCAGCCCTTGCCTTTCAGGTGCTCAGTGGCCCCCCCCTCTCCCTAGGGACCCAGGTGGGGTGGGTGAACCTCAGGTGGCCTTTCCTGGCCACACCAGCTACACCTCCTCCCATGAATTCCTGGCCTATGCTGCCACCTACTGGCCAGTGGAGGGAGGGCGGCGAGGATCCAGCATCACTGGGAGCCTGACAGTTGGCTCTGCAGTGCAAAGCCATGCTAAGCCTGGGTGTGAGCTGACACTGGCTGTCTCTGGCGCCCTTCCCCTAACCTCAAATTGACTCCTGGCAAGTGCCAGGAGGCCATCACCAGGACGAGGAGTGGGTGTGTGTGGACACCCACTCCTCTCCTTTTTTTGATCAGCGTGCATGTGGGCCTTGCACAAGTGATGGGGAGAACCAGATACGCCCTTGCCCTTGGGAAGCCCATACACATTTATTTGGTGCTTTCCCTCAAAGCTTACATATGTCTGGGGGGGAGAAACAACTTAATGCATAAGGAACTAGCCAAAGAATGTTAAGTTGGGAACTTCTTGAAGGCGGGACCATTAAAAGAAGGAATAAAAAAATATGCTGGCTACTTTGCTACTTTGTTTTATTTAATCCTTACAACAACCCTGTGAGGTAGGTATTATTGCGATGCCCAGTGGGGAGGAGGAAACAGACTCAGCAGATGTTTGTGGAATGAGCGCACCATGTCCGTGGAGGTGGTGCATGGGATCAAATACTGAAGCCTCTGCAGCTGGCTGGGACTTTAAAGGTCATCTCGTCCCAGGTCCCTGCCAGGGGACTGACTGGCCATCCATGAGCCCCTGGCTGAACCCTTGAGTGATAGTTGGGGGTGCTCACTGCCTCCCAGGACAGACCCCCCACCCCCGTATACTTTTATAACATTAGACTGCACCATTGTAGAAACATTGGAAGACGTGGGGAAATACAAAAAAGAAATTGCTAACTTCCCATACTCAATACGAAGGCAATCATTGTGATTGTGTTGGTTGTCCTGCCGTAGCTTCTCAAAGAGTCCTCAATTGTGGGGCAGTATAACAGAGGTGAATAGCACAGACTCTGTGGTCAGACCACCTTGGTTTGTATCCTGGGTCTTCCGCTTATTATTTGTGTAAATTTGGGGAAGGGCCTCGGTTTCCTTATCTATAAAAATAATATTTACCTGTGTGAGGAGTAAATGAGTTAATACATGTAACACACTTAGAACAGTGTTAGCTTTTATTATCGTTCTTATTGTACTAGAAAGTTCCTCATTGAAATAAAGCCTGCCTCCCTCCCCATAACTTGTACCCAGGAGTCCTAACTCTGTGTGCTGAGGATGCTCCCTCCTCTTCCCCAGGGCAGCCCTCACACATTGAGGTTGGCTCTCAAGTCCCCGTCAAACTTTTGGCTCTGTTATTCTATGTACAATTGGAGATACAGGGGCCAGAGCAGGGACACTAGGAGGTAGGAGTGTGAGAGAAGATTTATGCGAGGAGGGGAGCCTCATCCTGGGCCCCGGGGGAAGGTGGCCGCTGCCCTGGCTCAAGGCAGGCAACTTCAGGCAGTTCACCTCATACACCTACTGTCTGCAGGCCAGGCACTTAGACTTGGTTTTCCTGACATGGGAATGGGTCCATCCACTCCCCTAAACGCATTAATAACCAATTGTAGATCTTTTCTAGGGGAGGACTTAGAGTCAGGTTTGTGACTGTAGAAAAAAACCTGTCTTGGTGCTGAGGGTGGCCAGTCTACCCTGGGAGTGAACCTAGTATGTCAGCCTTTTCTAATTCTCTCTGTTTTCCAAACAGTTTTTTAGTTTGTAAGATAATTCTGAACTTGCTGTGAAAATAGATTTCCCTGACCTGCCCGCTGTGCCGGGCGGGAGTTCGTGTTTCCATTTTACAGGTGAAGGAACTGAAGCATAGAGGGACACAGTGTCTTGTTCATAAGGTCACAAAATCAGTTAGTGATGGGGCTAGAATGAAAACCACTCATCGTTTGAATCATCAATTTGTGAAACCTCTTTGCCATCTCCCCTCACCTGGTCAGTGTGTGAACACACACACACACAGACCGTAGTGCGAGGGGTCAGAGCAGGGCTTTGCAGTCCCTGCCTGGGTTCAAGCGCTGGCTCTGCACTGACTGGCTGTGTCACCTTGGGTGAGTAACCTCATCCCTCTGAGGCTTGGTTTCCTCCCCTGTAAAATGGAGTGTATGACACCTCCTCCCAGGGATGCGGTGATCAGATGAAATTGCATCCATAAGTGTCCATCGGAATGCCAGGCACGTGGGACCCTGTTTGTCACGATCACATTTTCCCTCTCCCTCCTCTCCACATAGCCACCATGATTTCCATCCTGGTCAGAGACTGTTTAGGGCAAGTAAGTGTGGAAACCATGCTACTGAAAACACCAGATTGTGGCGGCAAGTGGCCCTGTGGGCACGAACTGTAAAGCAGTGAGGCTCTCTGTCCCTGGGCGTCTCTGGGAGGGGGCCGTAGGGGGTGCCTGGTTCTCCTTTCTGAATCTGGGCTGCTTAAGCTCTTTTCCTCCCTTCTCTCATGCAGATTGTAATGTAGCAGACCCAGCCATGGCGGCCCCACAGCTGGGTCCCAGCCAAGCCGCCCAACTGCCCCTCAGTGAGAGCAGTGCACCAGGCCCCCCGCACGGGCCTCCACCAGGCCTTCGGCCTGATGCCCCCGGAGGTGGGGGCGGAGGTGTCCCTGGAAAGCCTCCTTCACAGTTCGTCTATGTCTTCACCACCCACCTGGCCAACACGTAAGTGCCTCAGGGGAGGCCAAGCCTGCTCCTCTACCCAGCATCGCTCAGCCTGGGGTCCTGAGTGAGCGTGTGCAGGGGGCCAGGGTTGGGTTGGATTGGGTGAGGGCGAGGGCGAGGGCTCCCTCCCGCCCACCTCTCTGAGCTGTTTGTGCCTAATCCTCTGGTGCAGGGCCGCAGAGGCAGTGCTGCAGGGCCGGGCCGACTCCATCCTTGCCTACCATCAGCAGAATGTGCCCCGGGCCAAGCTTGACCAGGTGAGTGTGGAGCCCGGCCCAGGCGTGGTGCCTCTGTGAACGGCTGAGTTGGCTGGTGCGTCCCCTTACCTGTCTCACTCTCTGCCTGTGTTCTCTTGTAGGCCCCTAAAGTGCCACCCACCCCAGAACCGCTACCCCTGAGCACACCATCAGCAGGCACCCCGCAGTCCCAGCCAGCTCCACTGCCGCCGCCACCACCCCCTGCCCCTGGCAGTGCCCCCCCTGCTCTGCCTTCCGAGGGGCCTCCTGAGGACGCCAATCAGGACCTGACCCCCAACTCAGTGGGAGCTGCCAGCACAGGTGGTGGGACGGGGGGCACCCACCCTAACACCCCTACGGCTGCCACCACCACCAACCCACTGCCTCCTGGAGGAGACCCCAGCAGTGCCCCTGGCCCTGCCCTGCTGGGAGAGACAGCCCTCTCAGGAAATGGGCAGCGGAGCCTGGTGGGCTCTGAGGGTCTGTCTAAGGAGCAGCTGGAGCATCGGGAGCGTTCCCTCCAGACCCTGCGAGACATTGAGCGGCTGTTGCTCCGCAGCGGGGAGACCGAGCCCTTCCTCAAGGGGCCCCCGGGAGGAGCAGGTGAGGGGGGACCACCAGCACAAGCCCCTCCTGCCCCCCAGCAGCCACCCGCACCCCCTCCTGGCGGGCTGAAGAAGTACGAGGAGCCCTTGCAGTCCATGATTTCGCAGACACAGAGCCTAGGGGGCCCCCCGCTGGAGCATGAAGTGCCTGGGCACCCCCCGGGCGGGGACATGGGACAGCAGATGAACCTGATGATGCAGAGGCTGGGCCAGGACAGCCTGACGCCTGAGCAGGTGGCCTGGCGCAAGCTACAGGAAGAGTACTATGAGGAGAAACGGCGGAAGGAGGAGCAGATTGGGCTGCATGGGGGCCGCCCTCTGCAGGACATGATGGGCATGGGGGGCATGATGGTGAGGGGGCCACCCCCTCCCTACCATAGCAAGCCTGGGGATCAGTGGCCACCTGGAATGGGTGCACAGCTGCGGGGGCCCATGGATGTCCAAGATCCCATGCAGCTTCGGGGTGGACCTCCCTTCCCTGGCCCTCGTTTCCCAGGCAGCCAGATGCAGCGGGTGCCTGGGTTTGGAGGCATGCAGGGTATGCCCATGGAGGTACCCATGAATGCCATGCAGAGGCCTGTGAGGCCAGGCATAGGCTGGACCGAAGACTTGCCCCCCATGGGAGGGCCCAGCAATTTTGCCCAGAATGCCGTGCCCTACCCAGGTGGGCAGGGTGAAGCAGAGCGGTTCATGACTCCTCGGGTTCGAGAAGAGCTGCTGCGGCACCAGCTGCTGGAGAAGCGGTCGATGGGCATGCAGCGCCCCCTCAGCATGGCAGGCAGTGGCCTGGGGCAGGGCATGGAGATGGAACGGATGATGCAGGCGCACCGGCAGATAGATCCGGCCATGTTCTCCGGGCAAATAGCTAGTGGCGAGGGCCTGGCAGGCACTCCTATGGGCATGGAGTTTGGTGGAGGTCGGGGCCTCCTGAGTCCCCCAATGGGGCAGTCTGGGCTGAGGGAGGTGGACCCACCCATGGGACCAGGCAACCTCAACATGAACATGAATGTGAACATGAACATGAACATGAACCTGAATGTGCAGATGACCCCGCAGCAGCAGATGCTGATGTCACAGAAGATGCGGGGCCCTGGGGACATGATGGGGCCGCAGGGCCTCAGTCCTGAGGAGATGGCCCGGGTGCGGGCCCAGAACAGCAGTGGCATGATGGGCGGCCAGCAGAAGATGCTTATGCCTTCACAGTTTCCTAACCAGGGCCAGCAGGGATTCTCTGGGGGCCAGGGACCCTACCAAGCCATGCCCCAGGACATGGGCAATACCCAGGACATGTTCAGCCCTGACCAGAGCTCAATGCCCATGGGCAGTGTGGGTACCACTCGGCTCAGCCACATGCCTCTGCCCCCTGCATCCAATCCTCCTCCCGGGTCTGTGCATTCGGCCCCAAGCCGGGGGCTGGGCAGACGGCCTTCAGACCTCACCATCAGTATTAATCAGATGGGCTCGCCAGGCATGGGGCACCTGAAGTCGCCCACCCTTAGCCAGGTGCATTCACCCCTGGTCACCTCGCCCTCCGCCAACCTCAAGTCACCCCAGACTCCCTCACAGATGGTGCCCTTGCCTTCGGCCAACCCACCAGGACCTCTCAAGTCGCCCCAGGTCCTCAGCTCCTCCCTCAGTGTCCGTTCGCCCACTGGCTCACCCAGCAGGCTCAAGTCTCCCTCTATGGCGGTGCCTTCTCCAGGTTGGGTTGCCTCACCCAAGACAGCCATGCCCAGCCCTGGGGTCCCCCAGAACAAACAGCCGCCTCTCAACATGAACTCTTCCACCACCCTGGGCAATATGGAACAGGGTGAGTCAGCTGGGCCGGGCAAGGGGGCATTGGATTCTGGCACTGGGAGCCTGCCAGGTGGGTGTGTTCATGCTGGGGCAGGGGCGTGAGTTAAGGCATCGGTACTGGGACCCAGAGGTGGATGGCTCTGCTTGAGGGGCAGATGTTGGCAGCTGTGAGTGGGCTCTCACTGGATCACCATGTTAATCTCCCAGGCATTTTAAGGGGGCACACTTGGGGTCTCCTCACTGCCCAGGGCCCTGAGGTTGCAGAAGTTGCTTGAAGATGGGTGGGCTGTAGTGATAATGAGGGGCCTGTGCTGAGTGGGACATCTGAGTAGAGGTGTGTCTGGAGGAGTCAGATGGAGATTTGGGGGCTGACCTTTTCCTAAACCCCCAATGTGACCAGCCCAATTCATCTTCCCCACCCAGTCACCCCCTGCTTTCTCTGTCTCCCCCGTTCTGTAGGTGCCCTGCCGCCTAGCGGCCCCCGGAGCAGCTCCTCAGCACCTCCCGCCAACCCTCCCAGCAGCCTCATGAACCCCAGCCTGCCATTCACTTCCTCCCCAGACCCCACGCCTTCCCAGAACCCCCTGTCACTGATGATGTCCCAGATGTCCAAGTACGCCATGCCCAGCTCCACCCCGCTCTACCACAATGCCATCAAGACCATCGCCACCTCAGACGACGAGCTGCTGCCCGACCGGCCCCTGCTCGCCCCACCACCACCACCGCAGGGCTCCGGGCCAGGTGCGAGGACAGGAAGGGGGCCACAGGGAGAAGAGCTGATGTGCGCACCGGGAATGGGAAGAGTTGCCATGGCCAGCAATTGCCCCTGTGGTCATGCTGGCGTTTATATGCTTCCAAAGGGCCCTGGGAGTGGGGGTGTGATATCCCGGGACACAGTTCCCACCTGTAGTCATTGAGTGAAACCCAGCCCAGGGCACTCGAGTGGTCTTTTGAACATCCAATGATGTGTCCATGGCAAACTGGGCCAGAACTTGGGTCTCTTGATTTCTAACCTAAGTGCCTCAAGTCCCTTCCCTTGCAGCCAGAAGAGGCCACTGGTGAAAGCCCTCACCCCTGGCACCAGCCTGGCTGGGGAATGGGGAAGGACTCAGTTCTGCACCCTCCCCCAGCTGGGTGCACACAATTCCTGACTCCCTTTCCCTCTTTCCCTGCAGGGATCAGCAATAACCAGCCCAACCAGATGCACCTGAACTCAGCTGCTGCCCAGAGCCCCATGGGCATGAACCTGCCAGGCCAGCAGCCCCTGTCCCATGAGCCCCCGCCTACCATGTTGCCCTCCCCCACCCCTCTGGGCTCCAACATTCCACTGCACCCCAATGCACAGGGGACAGGAGGGCCCCCTCAAAACTCGATGATGATGGCACCAGGGGGCCCAGACTCCCTGAATGCCCCCTGTGGTCCTGTGCCCAGCTCCTCCCAGATGATGCCCTTCCCCCCTCGGCTGCAGCAGCCCCATGGTGCCATGGCCCCCAGTGGGGGCGGGGGGCCTGGCCTGCAGCAGCACTACCCTGCAGGCATGCCCTTGCCCCCAGAGGACCTGCCCAGCCAGCCGCCAGGCCCCTTGCCCCCCCAGCAGCACCTGATGGGCAAAAGCATGGCTGGGCGCATGGGCGATGCATACCCGCCAGGTGTGCTCCCTGGGGTGGCTTCAGTGCTGAACGACCCCGAGCTGAGCGAGGTGATCCGGCCCACCCCGACGGGGATCCCTGAGTTCGACTTGTCGAGGATCATTCCCTCTGAGAAGCCAAGCAGCACCCTTCAGTACTTCCCCAAGAGTGAGAACCAGCCCCCCAAGGCCCAGCCCCCCAATCTGCATCTCATGAACCTGCAAAACATGATGGCGGAGCAGACTCCCTCCCGGCCCCCCAACCTCCCGGGCCAGCAGGGTGTCCAACGGGGGCTCAACATGTCCATGTGCCACCCGGGACAGATGTCCTTGCTGGGCAGGACAGGTGTGCCCCCACAGCAGGGCATGGTGCCCCACGGCCTGCACCAGGGGGTCATGTCCCCTCCACAAGGCCTCATGACCCAGCAGAATTTCATGCTGATGAAGCAACGGGGCGTGGGGGGCGAGGTCTACAGCCAGCCCCCCCATATGCTCTCCCCACAGGGCTCCCTCATGGGCCCCCCGCCCCAGCAGAACCTCATGGTGTCCCACCCCCTGCGGCAGCGCAGTGTGTCTCTGGACAGCCAGATGGGCTACCTCCCGGCGCCGGGCAGCATGGCCAACCTGCCCTTCTAGCAGTCCCCCTTGGGGGCTGGAGCTGGGGCAATATTGCAAATATGATAACCTTAAAAAAGTTTCTTCCCCTCCAGTGTTGGGATGGCCTGGGTCAAGGGGTGGGGTGGAGGGGGTGGGAGGGGGCTTGTGTGGGGGAGTGGCATTTGTGGAAACCAGATGTGCTGGCAGCTTCGGGGGAAGTGGCAGAGTGGGGTGGGGGATTTTGGATTGGGGTTTGTTCCATTTTGGCCACCAGGACTTCCCCCTCCCCCACTCCTCCCAGTCCTATGGAGCCTCTTTTCCCTCTTTCTCTGCTCCCACCCTCATTCAGCTGTGCTTTAGGAGTCCTGTATGGAATCCTTGGGGGAGAGAGGAAGGAGCGGAGACGGCTCCCCGCCCATCCCTTTCCTTTCTGCTGCGTCTCCTGTCTCTTCATTGCTCCTCTTGGTTTTTCTGCTCCTGCCTGTTCTTCCTTCTGTCTCTTCCTGCCTCCGTTCCTCTCCTTGCTGATGTGGCTGACCCCTCTCCCACCCTTCCCTGCAGGCGGCTGGCCAGGTGGGCAGGTGCCAGCCGTAGCTGTAAATAGAGCGCTGCGCTTTTGTGCCGGTTTGTGCGTGTGCTGTATTTCTGTGTTTTGATAGAAGTCACACAAAAAAAGGATAAAAGAAACCCTTCCCCCGCTTTTCAAATTATTGCCCCTTCCATTCCCCTGGACCCAGGGACATGCCATGCAGCACACCTACCCACTGTTTGCTGTGTCTCAGGGTTCATAAAGGATACCATTCCAGTCCCCTCCCCAAATGGTGAAATGACAAAGATACCCCACCCCTAAACTGAGGTCAGACCACCTAGGCTTCTACCTGGAGAGCCCCAGCATGCTGAGACCCCCAGGCCGGCAGCCTGTCTGCTGCTGAGTGATCAGGAGAACAGGTGCACATGTGTGCATTTGCCCCACACAGGTGACACGGGGCCTTGGCTTCCCAGCTGTGGATGTCTGGGGTCCCCTGCTGCTACATCTTAGCCATAACTTGAAGTCCTTGGTTTCCAGTCTGGGATGAAGGAAAGGAGGAAGAGACGGAGGCTGTGTGGCCCCCTTGAGTGGAGCCATGGAGCAGCGACGTGGCCCAGATGGCCCTGTGCCTGCTGCAGTAGCCCTGGGCCAGGTAACCCCTGGGGCCCTGACTCTTCCAGAGGCTGCCACCTACTTCTCCCCAAAGGAGGGTTTGGCCCAGTCAGTCTGTCTCCCTCCAACCTCCCCCCCTGAGGATGGAATAGAGAAAGTGTTGGACGGAGAGCAGGGGAGCATCCTACCGCCTCCTCTCTGCCTGCCACTTACTGGCAAGGTCCCTCTGCCCAGGGCTCAGGGCTCTGTGCCCACCCAGGCACAGCCACTGCCTCCCCCTCAGTCCCCTGCTCTTCCCCAGAAGAGCTCCCCAATGCCTCTGGTCAGAGCTGAAGCCATACCCGACTGCGTGTTTTGCCCCCCTTGGCCCCAGGAGTAAACACTTCTCCTTTTCTCACTTCCTTTCCTGCCTTGTGAGGTGGCAGGGCAGTTCCCTGGCTGAGGCCTTTTGTGCCCCGCCTCCAGGGCCCAGGGCCATTTCTAGACAAGGTGTCTTCTGCCATGGCCCGGTCCCCAGCCTTCCTGACCTTCAGGGCCTGGTCTCACGTTGGCAGCTGTGAAACAAAGGGACTTTGCCCCCACTTCTCCCAGTCTGGTGCTGTCTGTCCTCAGTCCACCGTCAGCCAGGTCCAGTGCTTCCTCCGGGGCTGGCCGCAGGCGCCTGCCTCCCCAGCACCTCCCAGGGGCCAGGGCCCAGCCTCTGTTCACGGGCCGCCTGCCCTCCATCCTGCCAGGCTTTGCCTGCCCTGCCTCAACCTGGGCCCTGTGCCTGTGAGCCCCCACCCCTAACCCCAGACTCCCCAAACTGACTGTTTCCTGCCCAGAGGAGAGAGGGGTCAGACCGCCAAGGGCCCAATGGCCTCCCCTTCTCTTCTCCCACCTCCGCCATCAGACTAGCTTTCCAAGGTGAACTCCACAGGCCAGCCTACTTCTTCCCTCCATCCATGGCCATACCCCCAGCCATTTTGTACCATTATATAAATATATATATATAAATATAAATATATAAATACAATATGTGAAAACATCTTTTTGGTTTTTATTTTGAAACAATTTTTAGGCTTGTTCCGGGGGTCTCTGTGCTGCCTGTACTGTATTGACCTGTTTTATAGGTGCCTTTTTATTAAAAAGAGAAAATTAAAAATCCAGCCTTTTGCCTTTTTGCTTCCATGTCTGGCTCCCCCACTGCCTAGCTTACCATTGGATGCTTGGAGAAAACGGGGGCTCCAGGGCTTCCCCATTGTTCTGGTGTGAAGACACAATCCCTGGTCACAGCTCTGACTTCCCCTGTGGGGGCCTCCCAGGGAGCTTGGCTGGCTGGCTTGAGTGGGACTGTGCAGCCCAGATGTGCCCTCAGCAAGTGCAAGGGTCCCTGATGTCCCACCCTAGACACACAGAGGCTGGGAAGGAGGGAGGAGAGCCCTCCCCAGGCAGGCGGGCGAGCGCAGAGCCGCTTCCTCTGGTTCCATCTGAGTGCTATCCTCTCGGGGCAGGGCCTGGCTTCCTGGGGCCTGGGGACTTCCCTGCCCAGGCCTGCTTTTCAAACTGTCCAGCCTAAAGGGATGTAGCAGCTCTTGCTGAGGCCTGGAGAGACTGCATGCTCTGGGCTTGGCCTGCAGGCAGGTGGCTGGATGAGATGACCCCCAGACGCCCCTTTCAGTCTGTCTTTCTCCTCAGGAGTTCTCCATCTCCTTCTGACTTTTGTCTAAGTGCTCTGTGTGCTGTGGTCAAGACCCCCTCTGCTGCTCGAGGAGTTTCCCGTGGCTGTGTGCAGGGAGTGGTACCGGGAGGAACGAGTCTGCCTCCTTCCCCATCAGTGCCCAGACCACCAGGGCCCTGGTCTTGCCTCCCCTGGCCCATTCTGGGAGCTCGGCACCCTGGGCAGAGAAGACAGCTGGCTTCGGTTTGTACTTGTCCCTCCTTAGGGCTGGGGAAGGAGAATCTTTTCTTTCCCCGGTTGGGCTCCTCTCTGCTGGCTCCGTCTTAGTTATTCCTGAGGACACTGCCTGGTCTCTGAGGGCACCTGGAGTCTGTGGTCCTCTCAGGGCCCAGTGACAAGGGGCTGGCCCAGTGCTGTTTTGGTCAGAGCCGGAGGCAGCTGCCTGGACCGGGTCAGTCTGAGCTTCCTGCTTGGTCAAGGTGCTGCAGGGCTGGTGGCCTGGCTGTGTTTGTTAGGGACTGACACAAGTTAAGGCCACACTCTGTTGCCCGCTGGCCTTACCTCAGCCTTAACCTCCATCTGTCCCCTGGTCCTCAGCTTTTAGCTTCTTTCAGCAGGTGGGGTAGGAGGAGACGTGGGTAGTTGTGGAGGTCAGTGGCCCAAAAGGGGATGGAGTACGTTCTGGGAGGGGACTGACTTTCCCTATTGGCAAGGGCAGAAGTAAAAGTTGTTTCTTGAGCTTTGGATGGTTAACATGAGAGAAGGTGTGAGGCGTCCTCTTGGCCCAAGGTGATGCAGACAGGTACAGGTATCCTTTGCTTTGCCTTTGGGCTGCTTTCTCCTCCCTGGACTCTAGCCTAGCACTTACTCTTAGGTGCTGGGAGAAGAGCTGGCAGGGATGTCCTGGAAAGAGGGGTTGGTTCATCTAGCTGCCCCATATGAGGACACTGGCCAAGATGAGCTCTTAGGATCCCAGCTCCTGTTGGAAGGGGTTCTAGCATCACTGCATCCCCCCAAAGAAAACAGAAACAGGGGAGCTGGGAGCTAGAAGGTGGTGAGGGAGGTGGCATTCTCTGACTCAGAGTTACTGCTCTTGCGCCAACTAGGCAAAAACTGGCAGAGGGAGGCGGGGCCGGCACAGCCCAGCTTGGTCAGAAGCCGTGACAGGTCACTCCGGAACTTCACGCCGGCGAAAGTGTAGAGCATGGGATTGAGGCAGCAGTGGGCCAGGCCCAGGAACTCACTCATGGTGATGGCCACAGAGAGATAGCCATTCAGCTCACAGCTATTGCCCATGGCCTTCAGCCTCGCCAGGGTGTCCAGGAAGATGACGACATGGTAGGGTGACCAGCAGAGAAAGAAGACACTCGTCACCAGGATGGCCACCCTGACTGCCTTCTGTCGCTGAGGGCGTCGCTGGGCCTGGCACAGCCTGTTCACCACCCCTACATAGCACCACCCCATCACCAACATTGGCAGCAGGAATCCTCCAACATGGTAGAGGAAGCGGGAGGTGAACCAGGCATTGGTTTCGGCTTGGTTCTCCTGGGAGAAGGTACAGCGTGGCAGAGAGTCATTGTGATGGGGTTGGCTGACCTTGGCGAAGAGAAGCTCTGGCAAAGCGAAGAAGAAGCCCGCCAGCCAAATGGTTGCACAGGTGATGTGGATGGAGAGGAGGCGGCGGTGGCGGTAGGCGTGGACGGCATGGACGATGGCCAGGTAGCGGTCCACAGCAATGCAGGCCAGGAGCAGGCTGCTGCAGTAGAAGTTGATCTTGTGCAGAGCAATCACAGTTTTGCAGAGGAAGGTGCCCAGGACCCAGCCTACAGAGCCCTCGGCCACAGCAAAGGGCAGGATGAAGACCAGTAGGAGGTCGGCCACCGCCAGGTGGAACAGGAAGGTCTCAGTGGAGCTGCGTGTTTGCCGGTGCCGCTCCAGGATCACCAGCACCAGGATGTTCCCCATCATACCCAGGAGGAAGATGAGGCCATAGGCCATGGGCATGAACACGGCCTTGAAGGAGCTCAGGAGGGGCCCCTCAACTGTGGAGCAGAGGTGATTTTCCACCGTGGGGGGCTCCGCGCTGTCATTGAAGCTGCCTAATTCCTTGTACTGCAGGGGCAAGGAGACAGAAGGGCAGGGAATTGAGGACCTAGGCTCACTCAAAAGGCTAACTGCTTTTGTCCCTGCACTCCCAATATGTCCCACTGACCCAATCCCAGTTTCCCTTCGTGTGTCCTTGAACAAGTCACTTTGCCTTTTCCAACTGCAGTTTTCGTCTGTAAAAGGGACTAATTCCTCACAGGGTAGTGACGAAGATGAAGGGAGATAGATGGTGAGGACATGCTTCATAAACTCTGAAGGGCTGTGCACCTGTGGGTTATTTTGTGTTTATGTGTCCTCTGGTATGGAAGGCTGCAGGCTTGGGGGCTGGAATCAAGACTTCAATTTTGGGAATGGAGCTGGTTGGGACAAGAAGCCATCTGTTCCAATTCTGAACAGAACAGTGGGCACTAAAACCTAGGATCCCGCTGAGGGGGCGGATGCTGCGGTGGCCCGCTGGCTTCCTCTTGATTTGTTCCCTATTCCTGACTGTCTTCATTATAACTGAAATTGTGGTAATAGCCTCCTATTTTGTTTAATCAGCACAACAGGCTCAAGGTATGTAATATTTCTATTTTACTGATGTGTCCAGCTAAAGATCAGGTCTGTTTGAACCCACGTTGATCTCACTGCAGAGCCAGTGCTTCCACCACTATGCAGCCCTGCCTAGGCTTCCCTCCCTGCTACTTCCCACCACTGGCAAACTCCCTTCTCTGCTGACAGCAAGGAGAGCTTCAGAAGTGGAAAGCCCAGAGGCAGAAGGAAGTGTAGGGGGAGGCTGTTCCAAGTGAAGGGGATGTGCCAACTTTGTCTCCGGAAGCTTCCTCCTCCCCAGCCTCCTCCTCCCCACCCCCCCACCCCCCAGCACTCAGGTTGTTTACCCAGCTAACCACAAAGGAAGACACGGTGCCTGTTTTCATACCTTTCACTCACAGCTGTCCCCATGCACCTGTTCCTCCTCATTTCCCAGCTCTGTTCTTCCCACCCCTCCCCAAACCAGATCCCTCCCCACCGCATTTCAAAACCAATTATAACCAACTTATGTGGGTTCAAAAAGACACTTCTACAAATGATGAGGCCCAGGGAGGGAGAGGATGGGAGAGGGTACTCTGCCCCCAGGCTCTGGGTCGTCTCATGCTGCCCTCCTTCCAGGAGAGTGAGGGTCCCTCGCAAGCAGGGAGTTGCACCACCACCCAGAGGCCCCAGTTGTGGGTCCTACACTCACTTTCAGTGGTGGGCAGACCCATTCCCCAATCTGGATCTTTCTTTCTGGTCCCTGGGGTAAGTGGCTTTGGGAGAAGGAGATGGGGGTATACATTAGTGCAATGGGAGAGCCGTCTGCCCACCTCCCACCCCCAACATCCCTCCGCCATCACCTCAGTCCACCCCTTCCTCACCCTAACGCTCAGGACTACTGTCTCTCCACAGGTCCCATTCCCACCAACTTTTGTACTCTTGTCCATCTCTTACACAGAGGACCCTCCAATCCCATCACATCAGTTTCCTGCTTAAAGTCCTTGACTGGTTCCCTGTTACTTATAAACAGTGGTTTTCTTTTCTTTCTGTCTTTAGCTTTTTTTTCCTTCAATTTCACATTGAATCGCAAAGCCAATTATAAGAAAAAGTGACGTTTGTGATAAAGTTCATCAGTAGACGATTGGAGTAAGCCAACTCCAGTGCCTTCACACAACAGAAGGCAATGCAGTGCTCAGAAAGAAATGAGGTTCATCTGCATGTTCTCTTAGGGAGAGATGTTTAACACATATTGCTAAATTTCAGAGCCAGTTGCAGGGCGTCCTATACAGCATGATTCCATAGACTTTCGTCACAGGGTTCTCCTGGGGCCAGGGCCGGGGAGGGGGAGGCAGCCTCCAGTCCCCCCTCCTTTCCTTTAAACCAGAGCTCTCCACTTTTGTCTCATGTGGTATTTCACACATAAGCTTTTGTTTAAGAAAATGGTTCTACTTTCATTTGAAAACCATGGACTTGCAGGGTGAGGTCTAAACTCCCCATTAGACCTCAACCAAAATCCCAACAGAACCTTTAAATTTCTATAAAATGTATATTCCTCTGACCTTCAAACCTCATCTTCTACTTTATCACTTTAGACACCCTACCCTCCAGGTTCATCATTCCACTGGCTGCCTGCCCCCAACACCCCGACACCTTCCTCTCTCCAAAACTTTGCTCAAACCCTTCCTTTTGCTGAGCAGTCCTTTCTTTCCAAGTTTACTATCTAATTCCTATGTCTCCTTCAAGGCCCCACTCAAACCCACCTTCCTACCTCCTTCCTAGCCCTTCCACTTGGAATTACATTCTCTCTTCGTACATTACGTGTGCCTTTGTTACAGCACGCAGGGTTGAGATGTCCGTTTCCTCACTAGATGGTGAGCTCCTGGAGGCAGGCCTTCTGTGTCTCCCTACAAGACCATGTGCTTTACACATGATGGACATGAGACAGATGTGTGCTGACCTGCTCTGAGAGCAATTTCCCAGGGAAGGCCAGGGGCGCTTGTAGTCCGGGACTTTAGGCAAGTCCTTCTCTGTGCTCAGCGGAGACTCAGACACTGCTTTTTACCCTTCTTCAGTTCCTGCCTCCTCCCAATGCCCTTGACAGCCTAGAGCTTATCTTGGGTTCTCTCTCTGTACTGGGAGCTATTTCCACTATTGTCACTGAAGACAACCATTTGCTCCATCCTGGAATTCAGCAGGAGTTAAAGGGTAAAACAGTGAGATAAGCAGCCTTCATGCAGAGCAAAGCAATTCAGACAGAGGAAGGAGAGATGCAGGGCTTGGGGCAGTCACTGGGGCTGGACTCCACTTTACCTTGGCAGTGTTGGGGGCCTGGCTGTCCCACGGTGCAGTGGAGGGCTTAGGTGCACCCAGCCTTTCTGGCCCAGAAGGCCCTTTATGAGAAACACTCAAGTCCTCAGCCTCTAAAGCATCCAAGTTGATTGGTTTATTGCTCATTTAAAGTCAACACAGTGGGACATGTCCCCAGGACCGCAGAGCCCCCATCTCCTGAGAACCCAGGTTTAGAGGAGGGTTGGGTGGGAGGACTGTTTCTTCCTTCTTGCCAAGAGCTATTTGTTTGACAAAGTGGTCAGGCAGAGAGGGGAACATAGGAGGAAGCTGGTCTGAGGGGTGCTGGGAGTTGGCACTACATCTCAGAGGGAGGTGTCAAACAGACATTTTGGGGGCTCGGGAGTGGCACCTGTTAAAGCCACTTCCCACACCCAGGAGATCAGGCACCCCCACCCTTCCCCAAACCATGGAGAGAGGTAATCAAGCAAGGTCAGCTCTGGTCTGGAGCGAAGCTGAGGAATCAGGAATCCTGAATACTGTGGGGAGGGGGGCGCAGAAGGGAGCCCTCTAAAACCCACGCCCAGAGGGAGCACAGTGCAGGAGTCTGGCCGAGTGCTCACTCATTCTTTGACATAAAAAGCTGCGGGAACCCAAGGCCCTCAGCATGCACACACTCTGACGGCAGCATGCACTCTGTATAGACACAGACGTGTGCCCAGGTGGGGCCATGACAGTGTGTGGCATAGGTAGGGACCCAGTGGACAACAGCCTCCACAGGGCCCAGGGACTCACGCCCCAAAGAAGCAAGAAAACACAACGACCAGATGAAGCTGAGCACAGAGCCAGGAATCTAGTAGAAAATTGCTGTGAGCACTGGGGATGGGGCAGTAGGGGCTAGAACATTCTGTGTCCTGGTATTGAGGTCCCAGGAGAAGGGAAGACGGAGGAGGAGATCAAAGTGCTTGGCCCGTGGTGGGATTACAAATGTTCTTCTTCTCCTTCCCTCCCTTCCTCCTTCTGCCTGTCTCTTCTTTGCTTTCTCAGGAGCCACTGTAAGACCCAGGCCCCTCCCTGGATAATTAAGGTCTCCGAGCCCCATCTGACTTCTCCAAATGGTGAGGCTGCCTCCCAGCCCTGCTCTGGCCAGTGAGAAGCTCAGCAAACATTTGCTGACTGGTATTCTGTGTCAGCAGGTTGGGCAGGGGGTGTCCAGGGACTTCCTCAGGGGTCTGTCCTGGATCCTCTCCTCTTTTACACTCTCGGCCCTGTCTTGGATGACACAGCTAGGGGACACTTTCAGACAATGCAGAGTTCTCCACAACCTGGAACTATGGGCCCGAACTGACCAGATGGATTTGATAGGGAAAAATACAGAGACCTACACTTGGTTTAAAACTTCAACTGTCCAGAGACAAGTTAGGGAAGACCTGGCTTAACGACGATTTATGAGAAAAAGACCCGAAGAGTTTGTTGACTGCAAGCTTAAGATGAGTCAACAGGGTGACGTGGCTGCCAGAAGGGCTGCTGTTACCTTATTCTAGGTGAACAGAAACCTGTAGGTGGGCAGCTGGCACCAACCCAGTTTGTTTGGTCTGGACAAGGGTGACCAGTTTGCTGAGGGGTGTGGAAATCCCCGCGGTGGGAGGAAGTCTTCAGGTACTGGGGTGTAGAGTCTAAGGAAGAGAAGACTTGAGTCTGAGAGAGCTTTCTTCAAGGATTGGAAAGAGCCCCCCTGAGCAACAGGGCAAGATGGGCTTATTGTGTGAGGTTCTAGAGGGCAGGGCAGGAGGAATGGGTCTTTCTCATAGGAGAAAAACCTCTTTTTTAATTTTTTTAAACATTTTTTGTGTGTGTGAGGAAGATCAGCCCTGAGCTAACATCCAATGCCAATCCTCCTCTTTTTGCTGAGGAAGATTGGCCCTGGGCTAACATCTGTGCCCATCTTCCTCCACTTTATATGGGACACCACCACAGCATGGCTTGACAAGCGGTGCATCGGGGCGTGCCCGGGATCCCAACCTGTGAACCCTTGGGCCGCCGAAGCGGAGCACGCACTCTTAACCGCTGCGACACCGGGCTGCCCCAAAAAACCTCTTAACAGGCAGAACTGTCCAACAATGGGTTGAGGCCCTTGGGAGGAAGAGGAATGTTTGAGCCCAAGTGTGTGGGAAGGAGGCTGGGAAGGAGGCTGGGCCCTGCCCTCAAATGCCCCTCGCTCACAGCTCCCAGATGCTCGGATTCTCTGGCTGTCACGCCCTGCCCAGGGCTGAGCTGGTTCTCAGCAGGATCTTCATCTAGCTCAGCGCCTAGGTGGGTGCCTCCTGCTTCTCTAGCCTGTCTGTCCTGTAACCAGTGAATGGCCCAGCCTGATCTTGCTTCTCAGCCGCCAGGAAGGGGGCAGGGCTTCGGAGTGCATGGCTCGTTCAGGCCAAACTCAACTCCAGGACTCAGGGGCCTGAGTCATATTGGCTGCAGGAGGCGTCTGCACACAGATGTGGGTCATCACTCTGGCCACTGGGAGCACAGACAGGCTCCGTCTCCTGTATGTCCCTGTCTGGATATTCCCAACCAAGAGTCAGGAGCTGTAAGTGGGGCCAGCCAGGGTGTCTCTCATTCCAGCCTTCAGTGACTTGAGGAGTGCGGGGCTCTAGAGGAATGAGATTGGGCCAGGGGGTGAGGGCAGAGGTCTGTATCCCTTACCTCATTCTTCCTTTAGAGAGCCCACACTCCCTAAAGACCACATGAGACTCTGGCTTGCCATTTGTCACATCTCCCTCCTGTCTCCTCCCCTCCCCTTCGGGAGCAAGCCTCCCAGTCTCCTCTTCTATCTCTATCCAAGAATTTTGGCCTTTAGAAACATGGTACTATTCTGGATGTGGTTCTCTGGGGGAGACTTTAAGCTATCCTTTCCTCTGCACTGAGTATTTAAGTTTAAGGGGGTCCCCACTTGGCACCCCAAATCAATTTGCACTTGGGGGACAGAGTGACACAGTCCGAGGGACAGGTAGACATGCCTCCTAGGTGTGTACAGCAACCTCTTGAAACCATCTCCTGGGTCAGTACTGATTTGAAATATTTTGTCCCATTATTCCTGAAAGAAAACTCATTCTTATGTCCTGATTCTCAGGCCAAATCCATGGCCATTTTTAATGCCATTTTGCCAGAGGAGTGGGATCAGCCAGTCTGTATCCTCAAGGAAGACAATAGTAGACTGTGGTCTGTGTGCCTGAACCCAGATTCACCCCAACACTGCCCCCTCCCCAGGCTGGCCCTGGGTCTCTCCCTGATCCTGGATCCCCCCCCACTAACCCCCACTTGGGGCCTTCTCCACTGGGGTTCCTCTGGGACTTTTGACCTGGTTGGGGTAGGGGGAGGTGGATCCTCCCCTCGCCCAAGGTAAAGCCCAGAAACAGCCTGAGCTGGTTTTGGTTCCTCTTCTTTACACCTCTTTGATGCAATGAGACAGTGTGATCAGGCGGACAGGTTTTGCAGCCTGTGATGCTCTGATCACACTGAAGTCACGGTTCTTTGGGGGCCGTCACTGGAGAGAGGTTAGGGGAAGCCAGGCCCTGAGGCTGGACCGTCTTCACCCTGCTCTACAGCAGCTTCCCCTCCTGGCTGGTGTGCGGGGTGCAGCTGGAGGTGCAGTTTATGATTGGCCCCTGTAGGTGTCCCAGCCCAGGCCCCGGTTCTGTCAAGAGGAGACTCCACGCACTCAGATGGATTCCTGTAGATGAGACTTTTCTAGGTCTGCCTAGATCTGCCTTCGCGGCAGGGTTGTCCCAGGCATGCCCACCCCAGCGACCTGACCCCTTGTTCCTGGTACCTAGCCATCTGGATTTTTCTGTTTGGATCCTCCATTCATGGGAGTTACCAGCCGGTCTTAAGAAAATGACCATTTTAAGTGGCTAGAGTTGATCTTAGAATTCAAGAGGAGGAGGGGAAGGCAGGATGACCAACACGTGGCTTCTGGCCAAGAGCGCCCAGATATTAACTCAACATTGGAGTGTAGAACCCAGTGTTCTAGGAAAGTGAACCAGTACTTTGTTTTGACAAGGACAAGGTTGGGAGTAGGAAGCAAAAGAAATAGAAGCTAGACCAACTTCAGAGAGAAATGATGAACTGAGACCTTCAATACATCACAAATCAATAAATGCTTATTGAGAAGCTACTACTTGCAAGACTCTTCTGCTACTCCGCCATCCCAGGGCCCGTGTGCTGTAAGACACTGTCAGGGAGACCGTCACAACTGCTCAAGGCCCTGCTGTGAGTGGGCAAGGGTAGAGGGAGAGTGTCTGTGCTTCTGAGGGGGCAACAGCCCTAGAAAGAGTGTATAGGAGGTAAGTAAAGGTGGGACGAGGCACTGGGAGCTGGTTGAAGAGGAGCTCCGGAGACTGGATGGTCCAAGGACTCCTGGGCTCCTGGCTAGACCCTGACTGAAGGGATTCCGGCTTGCTGGGATGCCTGGCCCAACACCACTCATTTGAGGTATGACATGAAGCAAGTCACCAGGTCTCTCTCCCTGGGCTGTAGGTTTTCTTTGATATATGGGACATACCCTGCTGTCCCTCGCCACCACCTGTCTCTAGTAGGTCATGCAGTGGAGTGAGGCGTGCAATTAGGGGAAACTCTTGAGGTTTCTCAGAAGCCAGGACTAGCCAGGTCTTGAGTTGGTTACTACAATATCCAACTGGGTCAGGGCTCGTGGTCAGCTTGAAGCTGCGGGCAGAGAAAGACACCCAGTAACCTAATCAGGTGAGGCCAGGAGCCAGGACTGGGGGCCAGGGTGGGAGCACATTGCCTTGTCAGGGCAGTGGAGTTTTAGTCTGATGTGGGGCATGGCCCAGACTCTGTGATTGGACTCAGGGCCAGCTTCATGGGTGTGCGACCCATGCAGTCACACAGGACTCTGCACTTAGAAGAGCCCAGGGCTTGGTTTAGTACTCAGCCATTGCTATCTTGAAATTATTAACAATTTTTGAACAAGGGGCCCTGCATTTTCATTTTGCGTCAGGTGCCACAATTATGCAGCTGGTCTGATTAGACTGATGGTTCTGCCTCTGCTTGTACCTGGGGATTGAATCTGAGAGGCTAGACTTTGAGTAGTTAGCCCTTCCCCTCGCCTTACCCCCATGTTCTACTTATACTTCCAAGCCTTGGGATCTGGGCAAGTGAGAGGCAGACTTTTCCAAGCAAGTCTGGGAACATGGTTGGTGGAGTTACAGTACAGACTGTACTGGGGGAGTAAGAGGGAGTAGAGAACATCTCAGGGTGAGTTTAGGGTCAGGAGAGCTGGTGGGTATAAAAGAAAGGGTTTGGATCCTTCATGATCCAGCCCAGAGTGCAGCTCAGAGAAGTCCTTTCCTACAAGTGCCGTTGGCCATGGGGGAAAGGGAGAAAAAACCACAAAGAAATTTCCAAAAGATCCTTACAAACAGCGCTCTGCTGCCCGCACACAGAAGCCCTGGGGTCTCTGGTTGAGCTGCTCCCCACACAGGTCCTTTTGGAGCCCAGTGACAACCAAGCCAACTGAACCACTCTGCTTCACCAGAGAGTCTCAGGTGGGTGGCAGAGATTGAAGCGGGGAACCATTTTCTCAGCCCACCCAAGAACACCTTATGTCGAGAGATTCCAGTCCTTTGAGGGAGGCAACAACATGCTCTAAAACCTTTCTAGGATTAACACAGCATTCTCTCACCAACTGGGCACCCCCCGCCCCCAACTCTAGCCCACTGGGTCCTCTCCCTTGCTGACCACCTGGTCTCACGCTTCCTCGGTTTAGCACATAATCATTGTCTGAGAGCTTCTGGTGAGCGATTTTTTTCTTCTTGGCTAGACTATAAAGTATTGGAGGGCCAAGACCAATCCCTCAACTTCTCCATCTAACAGAGAATGTAGCGCTCTGATAATATAATCACAGAGCAAGAGATGTATAAATATACACTGATTGATTGACTAGCAATGCCAGCCTCCTGACATGCAGAAAATCTCCAGAGTACTGTCCCATCTAGCCCCTTGTTCCAGCTCTAAGAGGCAAGAAGAGGATCCCCTATTGAAGAATGGAGAGGCAAAGTGACTTGTTCCAGGTTACACAGCAGTCAGGGATGATGCAGGACCTGAACCCATACTTCCAACCCCCTCTAAAGGCTGTCTATTTAAGGCAGCAGCTCCATTCACCTGCTTCTTCCGTGGAATGGGAAATAAAATGTTAAAAGGCAGATGCCAATGGGCCTGTCTAGATCCTGCTAATCCATAGTGGGAGGAGACTCCACAGCTATCCCCTTTTCCTTGGCCCTGGGCACAGGCTATTTAGAATTCCAAGTAGGGCCTGGGCAACCACAAGCCATCTGTCCCTACTCACCAGGTCCTCCAGATTGTAGTTCGTGAGGTCCATGTCCAGGGTTAGGGGGTAGTTCATGGTTGTAGCTGTACGTCACCAGACTGGTCACCGTCTGATGTTGAGAGGTTCTTTCCCTGGTGCCTATAGAGAGGCGGCAGCCGTCAGCTGCAAATTTAAACAAATGAGCTGCGCACTGTCTCCTGGGTCTGCGTAGGACCCGCTGTCTGCCTTACAACTCATCACTTTTTTTTTTTCCACTGGGTCTTTTCTGTTTTTTTTTTTTGAAGAAAAAGGGAAAATCCCCACAGCATCAGTGCTAGTCAAGCATTTCAGCCTCTTTCCCGGCAATAGTTGTCTCGGTTGGGGCTTGTGACTGGTATGAAGGCTGCCCCTCACTTCTCTTCCCTGGACCTCCACCAGCTTCCCAATAAGGAGTCGCACCTTATAATAAAAACCACCACACCAGTCAGCGGGGCCCAGAGAGAATCTCCATATAGAAAGAGAACAGGTGGACAGCGCTTCTAGGACCTCTGCTCCAAGCCACCTCCAAACCTTCATCTTTCTCACCACTAGGGCAACCAATCATCCAGTTTGCCCAGCACTGAAAGTCCCTTGTCCTGGGAAACCCCTCAGTCCCAGGCAAATTGGGACACTTGGCCACCCACTTGCCACCATCCTTTTGCCCAGGCAAGGGCAAAACCCCTTCTCTTTCCAGCTCAAGTTCAGAAGAGATAAGTAAAAAATTTTCAGAAGGAACAACACTAAAACATTACTGGAAGTCAAAAATGAAATTTCTCAAATTACCAAGCACAAAAAGATAAAGTCACAGAGTCATTTTCTGATTCAAAAATAACGATGTTCTAGCTACAAATTAACTTGGCCAGTATGTAAATTATTAACATCATAGACTACCCAGCTCGAGTAGATTTTCACCCTGGAGGACCCTGAGGACCAGAGAGGGAGAGTAATATCCCCAGGATCCACAGCTCACCAGCGGCAGAGCTGGGCCCTGAATCCAGGTTTCCTGACTCTGTATTCAGTGTTTTCTCTACTATACCAGGCTGCCACTCTTACAGGCTCATGGAACCCCTTTCCTTTCCCTCACTGTGCCCTATCTGAGGACTCTGCTCTTTAAGAAGCCCCTTTGTAGGCATGGATCAATTTACCCCCAAGTCTCATCTCTGTGCTGCATCTTCCAGGAGAGGTCATTTCCTCTCTTGGCCCACAATGATGTGAAACAATGACTGCACACACAGATGCACCCACACATGATGTGCTGTTTCTCTACCCCACCTCAACCCTTGTTATCATCCTCCTCTTCTGGCCAAATTACCATTCCCTGGGATTCTACCCTTTCTAGTGCCCTCCTTCACATTTTCCTCCGTATTCATCTTCCCCTTTTTCTCCAAACACCTTGCTTAGCATCCCCACTTCACCCCCAACAGATACATCTTTCTTGGGTTTCAACAACTTGAGGAGTTTGCAGCCTCTATTTGTGCTATTGAGGTCTTTCTTTCCTCTCTTCACTCACTGCCTTCAGCAACTGCTTTTAAGGAGGAAGAATCCGAGGACAAGAGGTCTAAGTTCCTCTCTTGCACTTCTAGTCCTGAAACTTTCAGGAAGAAGCTGCCCAATGTCTCCTGTGTCCCAAGTTTGCAGTGTATTCACCATTCTTCCAGCCCCACCCCCCAGTATCCCTGTCCCTCCAATCCACTGAAATATTCAACTTAGCTTTTGCTGCTCTAAGGACATTGATCAGGAAGGAATATAGTATATAGAATCACATAGGAATTGGAAGGGAATTTGGGAGATAAACCAATCCATCCTCATCCCCCCTCCCCCGCCCCCAGCAAATGTTAAGATTCTTGTCACTACATCTTCATCAGATGGGCACCCAGCATTGGTCAAACATCGCCAGGAATGAAAAACTTGTTCCTTTCAGGAGATCATGTTTCAATGTAGGATGATTTAATCATTAGAAACTTATTCCTCATGCTGAGTCAAAATATGTCTCCCTGTAACTCATCCCCAGAGGTCCTGGCTCTGCCTTCTGTCTAGACTGTCACGCTCCTCTTCCAATAAGTATCCTCTGAAGACAGATAGCACATCCCCATTAGTCTTCCCTTCTCCAGAATACACATCCCCGGTGTCTTCAGCTATTCTTCAAAGGATGTAGTTTCTGGGCCCCTTGCCAGCCTGTTCTTTGACCTCTGGGTGATTTCTGGCTAATAATTCAGATATTATCTGACTAGGACAAAATATAGGAAGATAAAAGTTTCCTTGTTTAAGACTCCATAGTTATATAACTGCAATTAAAATGGTTTTTCCTGTGGGCTCCCACTCTCCTTGACAACATGCCTAACAAATTTCATTTTGATGGTTCTAGTCCATCATCTCAGCCTATAAGGGGAAACTTTTGAAATCCTGATTCAGTCATCTGTTGATGTGATGACAACTTAGGTAAGCATGCCATCCTTAGGTCTATCCAAGTCCTGCTGGAAAATATTGACAGAACACTGCCAAAAACAGAACCCTGCTTCATGCCTTTAGAGATCTACTATTCTCAAAGGACGGGGAAGACTTCATGGAAGAAGTAGGACATGAGCTGGACATTGAAGGTTTGAATAGAGTGAAGGCCTGATGTGCCTGGAGGGGAGAGTGCATGGTAGGGGGCATGGGAGATGATGAGGACTGCATGAAAAAATATGTGGCGAGGGGGCCGGCCCTGTGGCATAGTGGTTAAGCTCGCGCGCTCCACTGCTGGTGGCCCGGGTTTGGATCCCAGGTGCGCACCGATGCACTGCTTGTCAGGCCATGCTGTGACAGCATCCCATATAAAGTGGAGGAAGATAGGCACAGATGTTAGCTCAGGGCCGGTCTTCCTCAGCAAAAAGAGGAGGATTGGCATGGATGTTAGCTCAGGGCTGACCTTCTTTACAAAAAAAAAAAAAAAAAATACATGGACAGAATTATTCAAGATGTGAATGGTGCGGTTATGGTAGTGATGATGATGATGATGATGTTGGTGGGGGCTGAGAGAGGAGGCAGGAGGAGGTTGGAGTGTACACTGGACAAGGTGGAATTGCTCTTGTGGCCTTCTCCTCTCCTGTTCTTCCACAACTGGGAATGCACAGTTGTCCATTCCCATTGATGTGTTGCAAGCCCAGAAAAAGGGTTTGGGAGGAGGCTCAGGACTACTTCTCAGGGGCAGCAGCAGGCTGTGGCAGTAGTTTCAGCTGTGATGGTGTGGGGCAGTGAGTCATCTACTAGCTTCTCAGTGGCTGACCTGGGTTTTATGGAGCAGAGGAACCTGTGAATCTCACCTGATCTCCTCTCCAGTCCCTTGACTTCCTGGTGCTTCTTGCACCGTGGACCCATTCAGATATCCCTTCCTGTCTCTCCAGATGCTGGCACATACTACACGTTCCCAGGGCTCACTTGACTGAGCCACTGACCTTTGATGGTCAACTCAGTTTGCCCTAAATGGGTAAATACCTTCTGACCGTGAGTTCCAGTGTTGCCTTAGAAGGTTCAGAGAGTAACTGCCTCTGGTAGAAAAGATGATCTTATGATCTTCAAACCCATAAGCCAGACTAGCCCCCCAGGATAGCAGGGGCAATGCCTAGGCTGTGATCCCTTGACTTTAAAGATGAGATGGCAGGGGTCCCATCTGTGTGTGATGATCAGATGGAGGGGATGCTTCTAAGTGAGGCAGCCCAAATTTTATTTCAATATGCAACTTGTTTATATTTCTGTGTGGAATCCCAGTCCCCACCTCATGGGCAGCCTACAGGAGGCTGGATTGTTTTCCAGGCTTCTTATCAAAATGACTGCTGGTGGGTCTGCCAAGAGTGGGCTTGTGTCTGCCTTAGGTGGATGGCTGCTTAGCGTCAGCTCAGGTGGATTTTCTCGGTACTTTTACTTCACAGTTCATGGATTATATTAAATTTGTATTTATTCCAAATACTAGATACAATCACTTGTCTTGGAGTTCATTTCCCAGATTCCACAGAAACATTAAGTTGTTCCGCAGAGTGTTGGGGTGCAGGGTATGGGTTGGGTTTTATCCCCTTATTACTTCCACTGACCTGGGACACTCTATCTCTCTGACCTGGGCAGAGATCTTCTCTTCTTTCTCTGGGTGCTTCCCAACCGTTCAGAACAGAGCTCCACAAGTCCCTACCTAGTGAGTCAGCCTGCAAAGAGTTGGTCATCCCTCTAGGCACCCAAAGAGAATAACAATAACATTTGCATAGCATTTACCAATCTACAAAGCCCTACAATTTTTAAATTTAATTTACCTAATCTTCATGTTTAAGTTAATTTCACATTTAATTATATTTACTCCTCAGAACACCTTGTGTGGGAGGTATTGGCATCATCTCTAGCCATATTTCTGGGGGGGAGGGGTGAGAAAACAGAGGCTCAGATCCTCACTCATGATTGCTGGGAGAGTAATTGGCAGAGTCAGGGTCTGAAGCCAGCTCTGTGGACACCAATACCTGGGGCTCTCTCCACCGGACCACATAACCTTCTCTCAGAGATTCAGTTTTGCAAAGGACAGGCACTTACCTGGCTACCTAAAGGAAAAACTCTGCTTAAAGCCTTTATGGGTTGTTTATCAGGTACTTACCATGTGCCATGAACTGTGCTAAGCTCTTCACACACATCATTTCCTTTCATCCTCTGAACAGTCTTTAAGTGGTAGGTATTTTTATCACATTATCACATGTGGAAACTGAGCTTCAGGCAGTAGTAGGAAGTAGTTGTGAGTGTTAACACCTCGCTGAGGCACCAGTGACCTAAAAGCACAATACAAATCAACACAGGAAGCGAGGTGGTAAATGTTCTCAGTGCCGGGAGCCAGCACCCACGCATAGCTCCTCTCTCATTAGGTAACAGGTAGGAGTCCTGTGGGGAGGAAATGGGCTGCAGGTGCTAGGTAGGCGCATCAAGGTTACCTCAAGGTTATAGGGGCCATGAGTGTGTCTGGGAACCTTGGCCTGGGGGTGGGCTGTGTGGTGGCCAGGGTTAGAGAGTGAGTCAGGTGCTCGATCAGGTGTTTTCATACTGAGTAGGAGCTGAGCCCCAGCCAGATGGGAGATGTGAAGATCAAGGGAGGCGGGATTCAGGCTCTGCCCTGGGAGCCTTTTGTCTTACAGAGAAGGCCGAACAGACATATGTCCGCAAGTTTGTACACTCATATATACATGCGACTTGAGAACATTTTCAATGCAGTACATATATGAATGTACTGCATCAATGAACCCAGTGCGGCCGAGTCCAGCAGTGTGGAAGGCATACAGAGTAAGGAGGATAAACCCAGAGTTCTTCACACATAAGTGCTGTGCGTGAATGTGCTGTGTAAACTGTGGAGAAAACGCTGGATTTTATATCAAAAGGCCTGGATTGGAGGCCCAGCACTTTTATTTTCCAACAAGGCTGCTTTTAGACCAGACCCTGCCTAAATATTCTAAGATGCATCAAAGATAGAATGCGAAACAAGGCACTCCTAGGAAGGCGGTTCTCAACCTATAGGCCTCAGAATCACCCTGGAGGGCTTGTTAAACACAGATTGCTGGGCCTTCCCTCAGAGTCTCTGAGTCCAGAGGTTTGGGGTGGGAACCTGAGAATCTGCATTCCTAACAAGTGTCCAGGTGATACTGATGTTGACTGCCTGGGAACCACACTTTGAGAACCACTGCCTTAAGCTACACAGGATTGGTACATGGAGATGGCTTGCCCTGAC